GGATGGATACAAAAGGTAATGTTGACAAATATAAGGTATGTCTTGTATATAAAGGATATATATACTAAAAAGTGAGACATTGATTTTGTAGAAACTTTCTCTTTGGTTTCATTGAAAGACTCTATATTTGTTGCTAATATTTAATCTTGAGTTACATAAGTTGGATTTCAAAATGGTAACATTGATGAAATGTTTTATAAGGTGCAATTACAAAATTGTGTCTGATGATACACAATTAATAATACGCAAATTAGGGAAATTCATTTATGAGTTTAAGTATAACTCTCGTTAATTATATAACATATTTCACCAAGGGATTATCTCGTTTGGTTTTGAGATAAATTTGGTTGACAATTGTATATACAATAAGTTCAGTTAGAGTAAATCAAATAATACCCCTTATTGCTAAAGGAAACAAGTTTAGTCTTGATCAGTACCCTAAGGATGATTTTGAAACTAAGGAAACTAAGAAAGGTTCTTTATGCTTCAAAATAAAATAAAGAGTTAAATGTATACTTAGGTTTATACACATTCAAACATAGTGTATGGTTTTAGGATATTAAATAGGTATTTCAGCTCTTTGGGTATGGATTGTTGGATAACAACCAAATCGATTCATACAATACATTTAAAAACAAAAATGTCACATGTTCACATAACGAAGATCTTGTAAGTAAAAAATCATCAGGTTTATGGACTCTGAATTATTGGAATATAGATGTAAAATTTTGTCACATGAACTACTAATTATGGATTGATAAAAAAACCACTTGAGTTATTTTGTGACAACTAAGTTGTAGTCCTTTATTCCATATATAACATAAACACCTTAAGTCTAAGCACATAAACATTATGTTTCTAGTTGTTAAAGAAAATTTAGAGTAGTTATGTGTTTATAGAGCATATTGGTACAAACTCATAATTACGCACTTACTAAGGAATTGTCACCTAATGTCTTTCATGAGCACACTACTCATGTGGGTGTAATATCATTTAAGGATATTTGATTTTAGTGGGAGTTTGTAATTTTAATGCTCATATAAACACACTTCAATTACTTCAATTTAAGGATATTTATTTTATAGTTATTTTCTACAGAAATAAAGTTTGTTTTGGATTATCGACACTCTGATTTTGGTAAAATCTGATCTCACTAAAGTTTAAAGAGGACCAATTGAAAATAGACATGTGCGGTTCACAATGCATGTAATTTTCATGCTACGCTCCATGATTGATCTATGTCATTTGATTGTTTTTGTATACATGACTATTGATGTGTCTAGTCATGATTGATATGACAAAGGTTGCTTTTATCCTATATGGATATAATTGATGGACAAGATTGCTATAGAATACCTATTGCATAATAACAAATTTTGAGCTCATAAAATTATACATTTATCAGGAAATATATGTTGCCCAAGTGGAAGATTGTTGGATTAAAATCCATAATTATGGGCACATATTTATAATGTATATTGTTATCATAAAATATGACATAAATTAAGTAACCCATTATGTTATAAAGTCATAAGGTATTAGAAGTGTCATGAAAATAAAAGTGTAGGAAGAGTTATAAGTACATACAATAATTGATTCTTAAAGTAATTATATAAAGGGTTATGATTCCTAAGAAATAGATAATATTGTATTTACTCTTATCCTCATAAGAGAGTTTATACGTAAGGGAACCCTATCAATTAATTAATTTAGGTACGTTTCCCCATTTATTATTTTATTCTTGATGATTTGATATGATTAGATTTTGATTTGTTTTCATATTTACTATAATTTGGTTCTAACAGGACTCATAATTAAACCTTAAATCATTTTACAATGATATAATTTTTCATGAGATGGGAGTTGAAAGAAAGCATTCTCACCCTTGGATCTGACGCATTATTCTATTGGAACACCATGGTTAGTGATCTGAAAGAAGCCAAATTCGCTTTGGGGATTTTGTGCACGACTGATGCAAATGGTTTCATCACGTTGATGATTGGGATTGAAGACAAAAGTGGATGTTTGGGTTAAGTTTGGTCTTTTGTCTTGAGGAAGAATAAGCTGCTGCTGCATTTAGAAATTTATAAATGAGGTTTAAAAAATTTAAAAAAAATTGAAGAGGATGAAAATAAATTTTAACAAAAAAAGTACACTAAAAAAATATAAAATATAAAATTATTTTAAATTTTCAGGGGACGACTGTGCCACCTACCCGATTATAGATGAATGATCATCAGTGGATTGTTGCCATTGATATTCCATTAAAGTGTTTAATCATTATTTGTAGTATGGATTTTATAATCCATTGATGAATTCTACACATTTAGATGCTCATTATTAGTATATTGTAAATTTAGATAGTTCCATTATAATATCCGAACAAAACTGTTCAAAACAATTGATATAATAAATTATTCACTTGAGATCATATAAGAAAATGTTTGAAACACGTAAAAAAATTTAAACAAAAATAAATATGAACATATCTATTTGTATTAGTAAACGAGTCCCAGAAAATAATTACAATATTAAAAATTATCGATAATCTCAAATCAAAGCCACGACAATGGTATTGTCTCTATCTAGACTCTATCCAATTTTGACCCATCCATGATCCTATTCCCATGGCAATATAGCACTATATCCCCTCCACTCTTTATCTTACAAATATCTCCACATATTCATGCTCAAGAGACAAATAAGGAAACAAACTCACATCTGCATTACCTCTTTTTCGACATTCTGAAAAAGAAAAAGAAAAAAAAAGAGTCGCAGATACCAGAGATTACGTGCTTAAAAAGCAAACGAAAGAAAGAAAGAAAGAAGCGTGTAAACATTAATTAATATGCCTTAAGAGCCAAAGGGTTGATACGTGCGCGAGTGCTGCTGAACACTAGGGGATAGCTAGGCAATTTGGTTATGGTTTCAAAAACACAGTGGGACAAGAGAGGCCCAGTTTTAATGCATCTTTATTAAAACAGCTTCTGTTTGATGGTATTATTATGTTGTAGTTTAAAGTAGGCTTGCCTGTGACCGGGCGCTTTCGCCACATGCTCATTGTCAGTTTTTGCATTAAGAATCGAAGGCGGTTTATGCAGTGATAGAGGTGATACATATGTATATATATATATATACTGTGTATATGTTGAGGTTTTCTAAGTATGTAGGGTTATTACCAGAGCTGTAGGGATTGCCTGGGCATTTTCTGATCTCGAAAACGAGTGTTTTTAAACTCATTCTATATACCTTTGGGACCTGACAGAATCTCATACTGTCGTTACAAAATCTTTGTTTTCTCATTATACATTTTGTTTCTCTGGTGCCATCTTTTATCCCTCGATCAATTAATAAATTTATTCTAGCTAATAATAATTTTTTTGAAAGTTCTAACTAATAATATTTGTTTGTTTGTGAAAGTGTATGTCAACTCCTATTAACTAGTCTAATATTATCTATTTTAACGTAGTATGCTATGGTGTATGATTTAGGGTTTGAGTGTTTATATTATTTAAGGTTGTTCTACTATTATATTTAGGTTTATGAAGTTCTTTTAAGTAATGTGGTCTTTAAAATTTGGAATCGAATCTAGTCATGATATACTCTTTAAATGAAAAAGATTTTGAATCTTTTTCGTCTAAATTGATTCAAACTCTAAACTTTGTTTAATAAATACCCGAATAGACGTAGGTAGTGTTTAAAAATTTACGTGAATAATATATCGAACAGTGCATGAAAGAAACCATAAGAAACGAGAGGTGCAATTAGTTTAAACCAAAAGATAAAGTTAGAGATTAAAGCAGAGAAAGTGAGATAGAAAAATAGGGGGGATAATGGACAGCGTCCTTCTTTTTTCTGACTTAAAAGTGTGGGGGACTCCCTCCATTAAAGAGCCTACTAATCCCCCTACGTGGGACAACTGCATGTGACCCTTTAAAACCTTGATTTTCAAACCCTAAACCAGCAAGAGCCGAAAGTCATTGCCCTTGAAAACCCAATTATTTGCAAATAAATGTCAACGCTGAGCCATCTCAAAAGGGAGCAACAGCTTCTGAGCGCTGCCGGTGTAACCATTCTGTACCTTTATCACGAGCAACCCATCAGCTCAAAGCTCTTAAACTTGGAAGAAATTTCCCAGAAAATCTGGGTTATTCATTGCATGAAACAGAAACGCATTTGATCTATAATAATGTCACACCCCAAATTTTATTTTAAAATATATTTAATTTTTTTAATTTAATTAAGGGATCGAAATGGACTGTTTTGAAAAATTTTGGGTTAATTTCAAATAGAAAATGGAAAATGTGTATATTTGAGGGGTTTTGAACCCCTAACCTATTGCATGGCCGACCATGCACCTACCAATCAAGTTAGGCTACTATTTTAATTGAAAATAATAAAATTTTATTTAATATTTAATATATTGGGTGTTAACTCAATTTTCAAACCCACTCCCCCGTGTGTTCGTGAACCAACCCCAAGCCCCTAAAACCCATCTCCTCAAACAATCACCCCACCGTCGAGCATTATCCTCCTGCCATCCGTAGCGATCACCCCCGCCACCAGTAGAACCAGAGCCATCCCGTGATCCAACCCTGACCCTTAGTTTACCCAAATCGACAGTCGATCGTCACGAAGGAGAAAAATTGTTTGGCCCCCAATCGTGGTTCTCTGTTGTCATGTATCGGGAAGCGTCACCGCCACTCCCATACGGTACGCCTGGTCATTACGATCGTAACCCAGCTGGACACTCGTCGTGTTTCTTAGTAGTCCGCCGTGGAGGATAGATCGTGGGTTTGTCGAAACCCAAAACGTTGTCGATCTTATCTTCCTCGAATCCAGTCGCACCCGACATCGGTTTGCCTCACCGTTCCCAGCACTGTGTTCCCCGATCATCTCCGACCGAAACCCAACCGGGGTGGTCGTCCAATGATGTTTCTTCGTTTGTCTGCCGTTGGGTAAGTCCCGATATTATTTTTCTCAATTGTTGGTTGTGGTTTATGACTGATTTGGGTCTGATATATGTTGGGAATGATGTTTTGGTGATCTCAGAGTGCTCTGCTACTGCCCTTTACCCCGTCGTCGTTGTCACGCGCCGCCACGTACGCGTGGAGCTCCTCCCCGGTATTGGAACCTCCTAGAACCGATATGAGTAAACTTGAATCGGCCTGATTCAACTAGAACCAAACTGAATCAACCCGAACCGGCCCGAGTCAACCCAAATCAGTCTGACCCATTGATCGTTGACGAGACCCGTTAACTTTGACCAGTTTGACTGTTGACTTTGACCAAAAAGTCAAAATTCTCAAAAAATCATATTTTATGTTTTTCAATGTCCTGAGTCTGAATCTGAAGTCTGTTATGCCAAATTCAAACCTGAAAGCCTCCTAATTGACCATTAAACTCGAATATGCATATGTAATTTAAGTATTTATTTAAGTGATTTAATTAAGTGCATCTAATTTGAGGGTCAAGGACTAAATTATTATGTTGTTTAATTAAGGTTCCCATGATTATCTCGACCATTCGTCTGCTCGGTCTGGTTCCTCCCGACCCGCTCGTCTGCGAGAGCTCGTGATTACTCGTATAGTTCTGCAACCTTGTTAAATACTCAGTTTAATGTACTACTCCGATAATAATTTTATTATGATATGACTTAGGTTCTCGTACAGTCGAAGAGCGTAGTGAAGCTGATGCTCGATAGATCTACCAGACTGATTCTTTTTGTGAGGTGTGTTCTTTGTGTGCTATATACATATATATGTTTTATATACATGTTTGAAATATCATGTGCACAAGACTGTTTTACATGATTTGCAATATGTCTAGCTGATATGAATTAATTTCACATGATTTATTTGTTTTAAGACTGATTTTTTATTTATTGAATTTTAAGCCTGCTTGACTGATTCATGTTCTCTAGTTATTGTTTTTTTCTTCTGAATTGATATATGTTTGAACTCTGATTTCCTTGCTATTGTTAGTTACTATTTGAAAACTATGCTCTTCAGGGTACTCTAGGATCTTGTATGAAGTCTCTACATTTTTAGCTTCGATCAAACTGGTAATTCCTTATATAGGTTCAACACCGATCAAGCTGGTAATTCCTTATGGACCTAAGGCGACCCTTAGGTTGGCTCTTGGGCCCAATGGGCCTAGTGATAAGACCTTATGGACCCTAAGGTATTCCTTTAGGGTGGCTCCTCTCTATGTGCATTGGGTAAGTCCTTATGGGCTTGAGGGCACACCCCTCAAGTGGGCACCTACACTTCGGCTATAGTAAGACCTTATGGACCCAAGGTGCTCTCTTAGGTTGGCACCTACGCCCTTTGGGCCTAGGATAAGTCCTTATGGATGTAGTTCTGGGGAATTGCATATGGTGTATGGTTGGAGGATTGTTCTGTATTTTAAACTACAAGTCTACTATCGTTCTCATAACTTTGATAATGAACCGATTTTGAAACTTAATTGTATGTTTTTATTTTGCACTGCTGGAACACATTGAACTCCCTATCTCACTCCCCCAAACTTGCCCCTTTCAGATACTTTTTGATGGGTGACCCAGACTTGACACTTGAAGGATCGATACATTCATACAGGATTATTTTGTTGTAATGTTTTTATCTTCCGAGTTGCATTTATTTTGGGTGGCATGTGCCTATATTTTGAAAATACTTGTTTTACGACGTATGTTGCTTTTGTTACTAAAATTAGATTTGCTTCGATACTGATTATGGAATATTTTATTCAACCCTTACGACTTTAATTGCTGGAATTGAACTTTAATATTATCAACTATATTTTTAAAGATGTTTATTCGTACCATGGTTTTAAACTATTGAAAAATATTTTGGAAAATTTTTATCGTAATCTACTAGATTTGGTCGTAACGTATAGGCCGAGTCTAGAGGTTACAAACACAATCAACCTATAATAATCACTGCAATATTAAAGTAGGGATTAAATGTCGTTGAGAATGGAATTAAAGGAAAGATGGTTGAGAATTGGGATAATAACGTTGTGAGATAAAAGTCTGCGTAAAGAGACGAGGGTGGTCCGTTTTACGTGTAGGGGAAGGTACTGAAATTTAATCCCTCTTTTCAAAACTAGGGTTTGCTTAATTAATGTTTATAAATAAACAATGTTTAAAAAGTTGAATTTAATTATTGTCGAATATCAACTGAGTCCATCCTGTAGTTGCAAAAATGATTTTGGGTAAACTACACCCTTAATAACTAAATTGTCAGTTTTAGTTTGTTTTAGTACCTAAACTTTTATTTTTTTTTTCAAAATCATACCCAACATTTTATTTTCATTTTAGTATCATTCGTTAAAAACTTAACGTGTTTAGTATCTAAACTATCAGTTTTATTTATTTTTAGTACCTAAACTTTCAAAAAATTTAAAACTCAAAGTTAAATTTTGAACGGGATACTAAAATGAAACGAAAAACTAAAATTTTTAATTGCAAGATATTAAAATGAAACAAAAACTAAAGTTTATGTATGATTTTTAAAAAAAAATTGATAGTTTAGATACTAAATGCATAACTTACTCAAAAGATTTTCGTTAAAATACAATTTTTTGTTAAATGATATTTTAGTCCATAAAATTATGCATCATTATCATTTTAGTATTTTTTTCTTCAATTTGACTCTAAAACTTTTCATATATGGTACACATCATTCAACTCAATTTTTTATTATAAGAAAGATATATGTTGCTCTAAAAATATATTACATGACACATAATATATTTTAATTAAAAAAATAAAATTATATTATATTATTGATATACTCAGTGACAGAACTACATGTATAATCTATGTTTGGACCTTAAAGTTTTATTTATTTTGATTTTGTCTCTTTTGTTTTTTATTGTTAATTATATTTTACTCTTTTTGAACTAAAATTCTGATTCTGTCCCTAAATCTATTCATACTTTACTCTCATATGGATTATTTTTTATTGATAGAGTCTCTCAATCTTCACAAATAAATCAAAATTTCATTGCATTTTTAAAATTTCAATATGGATCATATTGATCTATATAAAGTCAATTTGTTACCTATCACGATTGAATTTTTAAAATTTCATTGCATGATCATATTCTATTCTTTAATTATTAATTGGTCATATTTAAAAAAATATTAACTATAACAAAATATTAAATTTAAGCTTTTATTTGGTTAGAATATGAGGAATAATAGGTATCTCCTCACCCTCTTCTCAGTTGTCAGTATTTATTACTGCTATAAATACAAGCATATATGCTCCACCACTATCCACATCGCATTCTTTCTTCTCTTCTGCTTTTGATTTCCCAGCTAACTTTCTCACTTGTTCTTCTGATGGAGGAGACTTTCAGGCGACTAAACGGCATCGTTCGTGTGCCTGAGTCGGATCGGCGAGACTCTATCGCACAGAATTCAAAGAAGTTCGCCGCTGCCTCGAAGATTAGCACCACCACCAGCACGGCAGCGATAACGAACAAGAGGTCTCTGGAAGAGAATGGTGGCCCTGGTGGGACTATGAAGTACCGTGGAGTCCGCCGGAGGCCTTGGGGGCGGTACGCCGCTGAGATACGAGACCCGCAGTCGAAGGAGAGACGGTGGCTTGGAACTTTCGACACTGCTGAAGAGGCTGCTTGCGCTTATGATTATGCTGCTCGTGCTATGCGGGGGATCAAGGCTCGGACCAATTTTGTCTACCCTCCTTCCACCAACAACGATCATCTTCTTCCTCATCCGTTCAACTTCTCCGGGCAAGCACAGCCGTCCATCAGGGATCTTAACGGCAAATGGCCACCCTTTACTAATCCCCAAGTGGGAGAATTCTCTGTGGGGTCTGGTCGGCCTCAAAGAAACGTTTCTTTGGACATGCTTTTATTACGTGACTTCTTAAACTCACCTTCATATCCATCTTTTCCGGCGTGTCCTCCGTCTCCGGTTAACCATTTTCCACTGATCAATGGAACAGCATCTGCTCCTTCTTCTTTCTCGATTCTGCCTAGTTCTACTACGTCGATTTCCCCAACAAGCGTCAACAATATCAATAGTTCTTTCATCGGCTCAACTATGACTCTTCCTCACAAGGAAAAGAACTCAACTCACACAACAGCCGTGGCGCCACCGTCTGCTGCCATGTCAAATCCTCAAGCTGATGCCATGGAGTTCTTCAGACACGAGTCTTCTGATTCAGGCTTGTTGCAAGAGATAATTCAAGGATTCTTACCAAAGCCCACATCAAAAAACTCAGTCACTCATTACACTCAAGATTCCATTGTTCCACCCCCAACTCATATGAAGAACGAACATTTCGGCGTTTATATAGATCACCGTCATGGTCATCTTCCTCAACAGTTCGAGAGCTTTAATGGAGTCACAGGTCATCAAGTGGTGCCATACAGCAATGAGATACAAGCGAACCATCTACAGCTAGGTCAATCTCAAGACTTCATGTTGGATGATATCTGTCAGTTCCCAGATTACATCACAATGTAAATCCACGCTCAGTTTTAGGGTTCTTAAAATGTAATCAATCCATGGACAATTACGCGAATCATCTTTCATCTGTTTGATTTACATGGTGTAATGAACATGGGATCTTATTTGGAAAACAATAAAAACGACAGTAAAGTAGTTTTTTTGAGCCATATGGGTTAAGCTGCGTTGACCTTTAAGAACATGAAAAGGTGTCTGGCCAATGTTGTCGGGCTTTTGGGTTCTACGTGATCGTGTAAACGATAAAAAGGCATTGGTTAAGGATCTGTGGGTGGATGTTCTGTGTATCTTCTTTGTTGCGCAAACCGAAGCAATCTAAATAAAACCAACAAAATGTAAAGGCCTGACTGAAAAGGACTAATGAGATGAGAAAGCATTAGGCTAAGAATCCTCACTTAACAGAGAAAATTAACGGATGGTCTAGACACCTAAAATAGTAGCGTTTGTAACGTTAGACACCTGAATATTTCAAGAAAAAGTATACACCTATTTTAAAAAATAATATAATTTAAACACTTATTTTATAATTAAACCTCATCCTTATTACCAACTATCAATCATATTTAAGAGCGATAACCGAAGGGAATGAAATATAATCGATAATTTTATTTTAGATTTAGAGTTTAAACGATTTTTCTAATTTGAGCCATTTTATATTTAAACTTTTATATCTAAATTTGTTCAAAATATCCATTCGAACCAAAAACAAATGTATACAAAAGTGTCCTAGCATAAAAAAAAAGAGTTTTTATCCACAATTTTTTGTATGCCTATGTAAAACTATTCAATTTAATTCGGTAACAAAACAAACAAGAACATTTAACACTATTTGGTTTGATAAAACCCTCTGTGCTAGGGTTCTCTGCCATTTTGGCACGTATCCTGGGTTGTGTTCTCAGTATCTTGTTTGTTTATTTGTTTTTTCAGATTGTGTGGAACCCTTTGTCCCGTTATAGGAGCCATTGAACAGGAGTTGGAGGGTCTCACGCTGGATGAGGAGGACGAAGCATTAATCATTGGACAATCATAGACTACGCATCCATTGGGGGTATTTCAATTACTGAATTAAGAGAGGGTCGTTACTTATTCTTACTCTATCACGTTATAGATCCGAACAGGATAATTTCGGAGGGCCTGACAACTATCGTTTTGATGTCAAAATAAATTTCTTCTTCTCAATAATATATAAGAAAGAAATACGTAGTAAAGAGAAGTAAGGGTCGATTCCCAGGGACTTAGAAAATTTCCAAATTTCTGTTTGAATTTCTTAAACCAGGCGATATGTAATAAAGAAAATGGGGGGTTTTTTGATGAAAATGATTAAATAAGAAAAAGCAATTTAAAGTAAAAATAAATAAAATAGAGAATGTAAAGTTGAAAATAAATATGGTAAAAACAACCTCAAGCCTCTCTTTGACTCAATTTCTTTCAGATTATCGAATTATATTTTTCCTTCGGGAATCACGTCAGTTATTTTGTCTACAAGAGTAATCCTCGTGACTCTACTTTGTATACTGAATGCCAAAGGCAATCTTTGATTCCGGCTTCAGAAATTGACCAGATCAACATCAATTGTCGTAGCTCAATAACTGTTTAAGTTCGTGAAGACTGACTCAGATTGTTGTTTCAATAACTACTAATTCTGATCTCTATTCCCTCTTGGCAAGGCAATTTCGCCAAGTGTATTTCCAGGAAGTCGAATGTGATTTCAATAATTCGATCATTCCTCCCACACATTTAATTGCAACAATATCTTGACCAATGTTAATCTTTGATTTTGAAAACTATTTTAATTTTGAAAATAAGCTCAAGATTGAGAGAGATATTCTGAAGTTATTCAAGTGTTTTTCAATTCTCACGTTGGAATTGAGTCATCGCTTAAGCTCTCGACTTATGAGAAAATTAGATAAGCATGACAAAAGTTATATTTAACATGTTTAAAAATAAAACTTAAAATAAAATAAAAATGAAAACTTAAAAAGAAAAATAAATTAAATCTTACCCCAAGAGGGTATTTATAACCTCTAAAATCTTAGAGATAAACATATAAATTAAAAGAAAAATAATCATAAAGATAATTCCAAATGTTTTCTAAATTCAAACTTTAAAATTAAAAAAAAATCTCGTAAAATATCGTTGCCCGTCCACCTTCCAGAAGGTGCTGACTATATCTTCTAGAAAACTGCTATTGACTAGACCTTCTAGAAACTGTCACGTTAGACTGACATGCCTAGAGTTGTGCCCATGTCTTCATCCGTGACCAAATAATAAAAAAATGCAGAATGCACACTTTTTACTACTAAGTCTGGAAAATAAGATCATGCACGAAAATAAGCATAACATAAGTAAATCAGTAGTAATAAATCCATAAGATCGAAGATTTAACAAGAAAATATTATCGATTTAGAACACTCATCAAGGCCCTGAGTATTTTAACTCACACCTCTTGCTCTTGCATCGGTTGTCTCTTGGAGAAGATCCAATGTTGGTCGATCTTAATATGGTTGATTTCTGGGTGGTGGTGAAGGATCTGCCAGTGGGTTTTATTTCAGAACTGGTGGCCAAACAGTTTGGGAATTTCATTGGTACGTTTCTTGATTATGATGCGAATACGATCTCGTTGGGGGCATAGAGGAAGTCTTCGGATTCGTGTATGTATGGATGTCTGAAAACCGCTGAAAAGGAAGAAGAAATTTGCATCATCGACTGGTTTATTTTCTTATGCAAACTTTCAGTATGAGAAACTCAAATTATTTTGTTTTCTCTATGAAAAGTTTGGACATGGGGAGAACTTTTACCCACTTCGAATTTTACAAGAAAAAACTGATCTACCTAATTTATGGGATGTTTCTCTTCGTGCACCTGCAAGGAGAAGGGGTATAGCATCTAACCTGTTGTTGTGCGAAGATGATGTGAGTGGTGTTGGGGCATCTGGTCGTGCAGAGGGGGGAGAGAATGCTCAAATGACGTCAAAGGGGGAGACTGGTCGAACTAAAGATTGGGTGGCAAAAACTTTTAAGATAACAACAACTGATGTCTCCATGAGAGACAGGTTTGACGTTGCTATGACGACAGTATATGAGGAAAACCCTATGGACAAACATGAGACTGCAAAACGATTGAGGAGTAACCAGTCAACCTTGGTTGTGTCGGGTGAAAACTTGGCTGGTAATATTGAGATATCGATAGGTCTGCGAGTACAAACCGGCCGGACACAATGAAACTTCTAAGCTGGAATGTCCGAGGCTTGGGGATGCCTCGGACAATTCGTCATTCCAGCATTCTCTACATGATGCTAACCTCTCTGTAGTTTTTTTATAAAGACAAAGTTACAGAGATCGATGATGGAGAATGTCTGTAAATCTTGGGTTTTTTTGCATGATATTGAAGTAGATGTTGTTAGTACACAAACAAGTTTGTGTTTAGCTTGGTGGTCAGGGTATATTGTTCCTTTACTATTAGGATCTATGAAGCTCGTTTGATCAACCGAAAATGATCCAAGAATGGGTGAATAAGCTTTTTGTTATTTAAGGAGTAAGGGGTATAAGGATAGGAAAATTTGCACAATGATTTATAGTGGTTCGACTTATCAACCAATTTTACATCCACTACCTAAGCTCCTCATTTAGGATTTTCCAACAAATCCACTAATTTGTTCTTTCTTTTTCAATGTATGTGTCATTAAAACACTAATATTTATAAGAGAAAGAAAAATAAGATTGAAGAACTCTTCTATTGTATTTGATTGTTTGGATAGCTGTTGGTCACCTTCTTCAAGTGTCTTGAACTTGTTTTTATATGTTGAAATGAGTTACTAGTCGTTTCTAGCCATTTTGGAAGGTTTGGAGCCGTTGGAAGACTTTTTACACACAAAGTTTAGAAATTCTATGGATAGTTTCGAAACTCTTCGAAGAGCCATTGGAAAAACTTTACCATTGGACACAAAGTATCAAAACTTTAGGTAAAGTTTCAAAACTCTTGAGATAGTTTTTCCTATTTGCATCTTTAGCTTCCTTGTCATTTATCGGTCTAAATAAACGACACTTGTTTTTTAATAACTTAGTAAGTGGGGAGGGAATCATCAAGAAGTTCTTCATGAACCTTCATTAATGACAAGCAAGTCCCTAAAAATCCTCAGGTCTTAATAACATTTGTTGAAAACATTTTGATGTTTCGATATAACAAATTAAATTAAAAGAATTTTAATTTTGAAAAAGATTTTTCTAAGCATATTCGATATATTAAATCGAATATCAAAATATTACTCAAAGTATTTCAAAGTTCATTTTAAATCCTTACTCAAGTGTAAAATTAAGTTTTAATCTTAAAATAATTTCAAAATGATTTTACAAAATAATTTGAACCATTTTAAAGCTAAAAATTCCAGATTGCTCAGAGGGAACCGATTCCCCCAAGGGGGTACCGATTCCCCCTGAATGGTTTGGCTCCGAGAATTCCAGTATGCTCGGAGGGAACCGATTCCCCCTAGGGGTATCGATTCTCCCTTAAACGGTCGAAATATTTAAATTTTACATTTAGGGAACCGATTCCCCCCACGCTCTAAGCAGAAATATTAATTGTTTTCACACTTAAACGGCTACAATAGCTTCATTAATGATCCCAACGTTCAGAAGTGATTCAAGGAGCCATTGATCAATAACAATAAACAACAAGCAAATATAATCAAGAGAGAATCAAAGAGAAAGCATCAAACCTCAAGTTTGAGCATTTCAAGCCTATTTTTCATTCAATATTCATTTTTCTTTCAAGAACACTACTTGTACTCAATTGTATTCATTCTTGAGTGTTCTTTTCTTTGTTCTAGAATTGTGCAAATAATCTACCTTGTGAGGATTTCTTTGTAAGTTTGCAAATTTGTATTGTTCTCTTTGGTAGAGAGTGTTCTCAAGAATTTGGGGTATAATTCTTGAGGGTTTGTAAGGTTACTCTTTGTCCTCAAAAGAAAGAACAAATTAGTGAATTTGTTGGAAAATCCTTAGTGTGGATAGCTAAGGTAGTGGACGTAGACTTTGATTGAGAAAGTCGAACCACTCTAAATCGCTGTGCAATTACTTTCAATTTTCTGCAAAAGCTTCCACAAAAAATTTAATTGTCAATTCACCCCCTCTTAGCTGATTCCGTCAATCGATTAACTCAACAACATCCTTTGGATTTCCTATTCAATAATAACTTGTACTTCCTAGGGAACTACTCTTATTTCCTTTAGAAGAGTCTGAAAAAATTATACAAATATGTGCATTATGTTTTTCTTTTATCTTTAATAAACCAAAATATTAATAAGAAATATCACCACAACTGATCCAAGCATAACAAAAAAGACCTGATTCATTTAATACACAAATGTTACGAGAGCATTGTTTAACCCGAATGGCATTTCCTCAAACTCGTTTTAGTCACATTGGGTCTTAATAACCATTTTAGAAATGTCTATCTCTTAATTCCTCCTTAAAAAAAGTCTTTAAAAATTAATGAAAAAAATCATTTTAGTCCAAAAGTCAATTGTACCCTTAATGAATCTTAATATTTATCCTTATGCCATCATTTTTATCTCCATTTCAATATATTAAATAAATATAAAAATCACATTTACTAATTTTCACCTTTTCCCTTTCAATTTTTTTCAAAATTTCAATTTAATCACTTAAATTCCACTATTCCACTTCAACATGAAAAACCAACTTAATTCCACTGATCCACATCAAATTCTATCGATTGAAAAGATATGAATTTTTAACCGATGATAGATCAGAAATTTGGGCAGCAGATTATGCTCAAAACATATTCTGTAAGCTAGATTAGGAAATTCGTCATAAATTGTACAAGTTGAACTAGAAGAAGTTCCTTATATTGTTAGATTCATATTTGAGTCTAGTTTCTAATGGTACAAACATAATACTTATTAAGTGTCTAGATTAATACAAAATAATATTTCTTTGAAGGTAGTCCAAACTGTCAGAATATGAAATTGATGTAGATTATGCGATTTTGATGTTATAAGTGTTATGAAATTATATACAAGCTTAAAAGTTGATTTCTCACTTCTCCTTCATCCACCGTAAACACCCATTCAACACTTGATGCATGAAAACCATGACAAACCTATACCAAATGAAAGAAAATTTAATGGGGGATATTTTTCTATTCAACATTTTACTGCAAAAAAAATCAACTAAAATGATTAAAAAAATTGAAAAAGAAAAGCTTGCTCACCTTCCATGGACTATACACGGTTTGATGAAAAAGAAGAGAACTATTGACCATTCTATAAAAATATCTCTTAATTCCTCCTTAAAAAAGCCATTAAAAATAAATTAAAATCCATGAATCATGTCCATGAATCAGAGGTTTCAGATTTGCCAACCCCGTAAGCTATTGGCAATATCCCATTGTTAGCATCCATGGCTACTGCTAATAAGTTTACTCCAAGGTATCGACCTTTCAAATGTGCTCCGTCAACTATAATAACTGGGCGCATGCAAGTAATAAACGAACGAATCTACAAAATAATATACACAAGAAATATAATCATTTAAATGTGAAATGCATGTAACTAACAAAAATGAGTCAACAAAATTATATTTATTTACTAACCGTAGCACCAATGGCGATAAACAGCAACTCAAAGCGTCCATCTCTATCTGTTTTGATATGAGTTACCGACCCAGGATTTTTCAGCTTTAAATTGTGACAATAAGCCGGCAGTTGGGCAAACGATGCTTCTGGCGACCCCCTCAACAATTCCAAGGCATAACATTTGGCTCTCCAAGCTTGAGAATATGATATACTAATCTTGAACCGAGCATTCATGTCAGTCATAATTTCATGTCCCCGATATACCCTGCCATTCAAAAACATTAACTCAGCCAGAAAACCACCCAACACCTTTTTGTTTGCCTGTCTATGGTGAGGAAAAACTTGGGTTCTTGAACATGTATGTTTATCAATAAAAGTCCTAACTTGAAACATTTTGTAATCTTTTATTCTCTTTGCAATCATACGCCACGTACAGTTTTTGTCAATCATACACCTTGTTTCGAAACGATCTTTGCTTGATTTGTTAACTTTTAGTTGATAGCCATCTTCCACACATTTCGTATATAAAGCTATCTTCAAGTCTTCCTTTGTATCAAAACAATCATCTTTCTTGATACGAATAACTTTTGTGTAACAATCAACTGCTTTCTTTATCAACTCTTCTTCCGGTATCTGAAGTAATTCTGGCATATTCCAGTTATACGCCCGTGGCATTTTCTTTTCTTCGGGGACTTTTTCTTCTTCTTTTTCTTCTTCAGGATTATATAAATTACAGAATGGATGTTCAACATGTTCATTCACAGTCGTAACTTCCTCCTCATTATCATCAACATTACATTCTTCGGCAACGGCTGTTTCATCATCAAAATTCGGGTATTGACCAATATCAATATCATTACACGCATGGTCTGTTTCTTCTTCTGAAACATCATCAAAATCCGTGTATTGACCAATATCAAAGTCCGGATATTGACCAAGACCAAATTTCGAATACTGACTAGTACTCACAATTTTTTCTGTTGGCTCATCATCATCTAACTGGTCAATACGAAAACCGGAATTTGGTGCTGAAAGTTGATTGGGATTTGGATTAGAGAAAGGTTGTGGGTTTTGAGAAAAACTTAGTTGATTACTACCCGCTACTGACCCAACAATACTACTTCTAGGTTCAACAACATACAATGTAACATCATCTTGTGAAACCCTAATGTAAGCAATGAATCGTTCAACATATTCATTGTCGGTTAACAAATAAACTTTACCATTTCTCTGATAAGATAGCCTAAATCCACTTAGGGGCTCTAAATTCAATTTATTTGAAACACGTAGCATTAGAGTTTCATAAGTTAACTTTTGTAAAGACAATTTTAGTTGAAGATTCATGGGTAAAGGCATATATTGTAAAACACCATGAACATTATCCCATGACCCTCCAAAACACAAATCTATCCAAACATGATCAACATTAGATGATTTCATGGTTGTAAATTAATTTACTAAACAGACGAGCTGCGAAACTAAAACCTGTTGCCGGATTGGGAAGGATGTCGTTGGATATAGGAACGGATGTCGCCGGAGAGAGTGATAGATGGAGATGGAATGAGTTGCGATTTAGGGATTTAGTTTATGATTTCAGTGTTATATACCCAAAATTTCAGTGTTGTGATTTACAGATTCTCGTTGCGATTTACGGATTATCGTTGCGATTTACAGATTCTCGTTGCGATTTACGGATTATCGTTGCGATTTACGGATACGCGGTGCGATATACGGAAACGCGTTGCGATTTACCCATACGCGTTGCGATTTACGGATACACGTTGCGATTTATGTGTTCGCGTTGCGATTTTCATATTCGCGTTGCGATTTTGGAAAATCGCAATGCGAATTTGACTATCGCATTGCGATTTTCAAGAATCGCGTTGCGATTTTGGAAACTGATTTGCGATTCTGGGGATCGCGTTGCGATTTTTATTTCGCGTTGCGATTTTGTTGGTCATTTTGGCAAATCCAAAAAAAATTGGTTAAAATCGTATATTATAACTTTTTTTTGGTCACTGAGGCGATTTTCTCTTTACCCTATGCTATCCTTTATCTCCATTTTAGTAACATAAAATAAATATAAAAAATCACATTTTCTAATTTTCATCTTTGCCTTTTCAATTCTACCCTTAATGAATCTTAATATTTACCCTAACTACAATGAATGTAACAAAGGGTCGCGATCTCATTAGGGTGTGCTAACTCCAAAACTCCGTCTCAAGTTGAGTTGCAGACTGTAATCCACCTGCGTAAAATCGGAATCGTTAATAATCGATTTACACGAATAATTCATCAAACATTATATTAATTTATACTTCTAGATTTGATACTTCAAACTAAGGATTTATTATTAAATTATCGTATTGTTTACATTAACTTATGTCAGCTCGTGTAACATGAAACTCTTGACTTCGTCCCTGTAAATAGTAGCGTGAACTAGACGAAGGGGAAATGGGGCAGAAATTGGTAAGAAAAGATGGCAAAAAGGTAGTACACGAATACAACCCAAGTGTTCGAAGGATGTTACAATAATGGCGGTGTGGACAGGACAACCAAACTTGTCCCATCGGAGTACCAAGCGTCGCCAAAGATACCTATAATTAAATTTAGTGACGAATTTAGTAATATTTTTTTAGAGTTAATATATATATATATATTAATAATAAATTTTTTTATATATATGAACATGAATAAAATTATAAGATGAATGCTTTTAATAAATTAAATAAATAATATAAAAAGTAATAATTTCATACTCACTCTTAATTCTACGTACATCCATCACTTCTTACTTAATTCTACGTACATTCACCACTTCTTAGGGTGTGTTTGGTTGGGAGAATATGAGATTCCCATAGGAATGTAATTCACATTTCCCGTTTGGTTGGCCGGAAATGTCATTCCCGGTAATCTTACATTACCAATAGTGGATTTTTTGGGGTATATTACCAGAAATTTCATTACCTCTTTCCTTAGGTATTGTTGGATTACCGACGCTTTAGACTAAAATGCCCTTAATTTTTTTTTCCAAAAATATCCTTATTTTGTCATTGAATAATAAAAATTCTACGAATGTTAAATTACAAATTTATCCTTAAACTATTTTAGATTTACAAAAAATCTATAATTATAATTTTATATGAAGTTTAGGGGTTAAAATAAAATTTTACCCTTAAATTAAACCTTTTTATATTTTTAATTTTATAAAAAAATATATACATTTTATGAATTTAATTTTTTTAAAGAAAATATATAAATATTTTCCAACTTGTTAAAAAATAAATATATAATAAGGATAATTTGGTCAAATATACATTCTAATAATTTTTTATTCCTTTAATCAAACACGGTAATCTTACATTCCTGTTAAACCAACCAAACACAAAATACAACATTCCAGTAATCCTATTCCTTGATAATCTTAAATTCACATTAATAATCTTACATTCTGTAAACGAAACGTACCCGCCTTGTTGTTGTGTTTACGCTGCCACACATAAATCTTCTCAAGACACCTTTTTAATTCTCTACCTCGCACCAAACACGAGATAACTTTTTGTAATTTTGAGTAAATTATTCGTTTAATACATAAATTATTAATTTCGTTTTATTTTAGTATTTAATTTTTTAAATTTTTAAAATCATATTTAGATTTTATTTTTATTTCATTTTAGTATATCATTATTAAAAACATTAGTTTTTATTTGATTTTAATACATACGTCCAAAATTTAATGTTAAATTTTGTAAAAATTAAAAATTTAAGTATTAAAATAGATTAAAATTAATAATTTAGATACTAAACGTATTAAGTTTCTAATAATAACTATAAAATACTAAAATGAAATAAAAAATAAACGTTAAATATTATTTTAAAAAAATTAAAATTTAAATAATAAAATGAACCAAAACTTATAATTAAACTATTAAAAGTATAGTTTACCTTAATTTTCGTACCTGATAATCCCCACATAAGATTATTGGGATGTGGAGAGGGGTCGTCATCATGATCTAATCTCATGATTCAGATGCATGCTCAAGAATAATATATACATGAATGAGTTGAGAGAACAATCATTTCATCCATGCGAACAGCTAAGCTATGCAGATATATGGTTTCATTGAACCTATCTTCCCATTCCTAATCATTTCACTGATCCCATCATTATTTTCAGATAGGGTTAAGTCCCAGAATTTACCGTCATGTTATTTGTTTCTGAGCTAAAATTACAAGGCTTTTACTTAAATTACAGCAAGAAAATGAAGGAAAAGAAAACCTTTACCCTTTGAAACAAATTTCACTCAGTAGTTCTTTTCACTGCCACTTCTATTGATCGACAACAACTTACTGAACATTCTTTTAGGTCCCGTAGGTAAAGCACAGAAGGCCTTGAGCTTGGAATGTCTTCCCATTCCATCCGGATCCATGTTGTGTTCGTCAAAATCGTCGTCTTCGGCTAGCTTCATCCTTAGTGTTGAAGTTCTCGACCTGGGAGATTTAAGGCCCGAAACGCTCCATTGATCGTCGGCTCGAATGCTGGTAGTAGAGCTTAATGTCGCTGGAGGTTTTGATGGATCGATGTTGTGGGCAGCTAAAAGTGCCTTAATGTTGCTAGGGAGATTGGTCACTTTGCCCCCCGCCGTGGCGGCTCGAGCTTGTCCGAAGAAGAGGACTTGTACTACTACTCTTAGAGGCAGTTTTTCATTTTGTGCAGCGTGCATGCAGGCCTCGGCAGAGAGTTTTTTGCAATCGAGTATGCCGCACAGCCTTTTCCGTTCGGTCTTGTTTAGGTCCGGGTGTCCCTGCACATTCAAAAATAACAACTACAATGAGAACTGATAGATCAAGATCATGAAAAAGGCTACCGATTCAAGGGAGTTGGTTACCTTGAGATATATGTCAATAGCTCGGTAAAGATCATCGTGGTCGAGCCGTGAGAAATCCGGGATCGTCTTGGCGATTGCAACGAATTTCGACAGTGGTAAGTTTCTGTCTCTAGCGATCTCTTGAAGATATCCATCCACGATTTTGGCTACTTTTAGTTTGGAACTGTGTGATGCTGAAGAGGATCTCCTACTTTCCTGAAACTCGAAATCGATATTCTCGGCCGAACGGGACCTTCTTCTCCTTTCTAACCGCAGCTTCGATCTCGGGGGACTAGTCGGAGGACTCTGTCCTTGTAACATGAAGTTTTCCAAAATGGTGAGGACGATGTCTACGTCGTAAACGGTATCACTCGAGTACGATAGAGAAGGTATTAACAGATCGCCGACTCTTGCTTCCTCTACCTGAAGTGCTACTCTTCGAGCCAATTCCGCCTTCGAAGACGATGAAGCATTAAGAATGTTGGCTGCTTTCAAGAGCTTAAGTAGAAAACTGCAGGACACATCACCTTTCTCTGATGGGAGTAAACTCACTATTGATTCCAACAGCAGCCTGTGCTTTGAAGATACCTCATCAGCCGAGTCCGAATCGGATGTTCGTCCTCGGTTAGCCTTTACTTTCCGGGATATATTCGGCAGCCACCGAGATGCATATATTTGCAATGCTTCACCTATAAGATTAGAGGGTATTTTCCCACCTGATTTAACAGCAATCATGGTCCTCCAATAAAGGTCTATACCCAACTCAGCCATGTCCTCTGCCCACCAACCTTTGATCATCGGTTTATACCGCTGGCTCTCGGTTCCGGTACATGACATGTCGCTAAACCGTCTCGAATGACTATGCGACAAGCTCACCTTCGAAGGGTGTGACGAAACTTTCGACTCAATCGATTCTATGCATCTGTTAGTGATTCCAAGGTCTTCACACCACAAAGGAAAAGCCTTGGTGCTTTGTAATGTCACAATAGAGTCCCTCCACCCTTGTAAAATGCATGAATTGAAGAACACTTCAAGCTTGACAATCAAGTTACCCTTCTCGACATCTTCGGTCATCTGCAAATACTCAGCGGCGCAATAAGCCACCACGATGTTATACGCGCTGACCGTGATCGTGATACCGTAACAGAACTTGGCACAAAGCTCGAACGCCTCGGTTCCGCCGGGGAAATCGAGTAATTCGATTACTTGGTGCTGTGATGTTTCATGGGATATTTCATAGCACAACCTCTGCAACCGCAAACACTTGGACAACAGAGGAAACTGCATATGTAGAACGAATTCTCAAAGAATCAATTACTGCATCAAAAAAACAAGAACAGAGATTCAATAATTTAACAAAAATCTTACCTTGTGAAGCAGATATTTGGTTCCTTTAACTTCGATTATAAGATCACTCGGGACTTCACAATAAACAGTCCTGCATATCAAGAAAAATAAACCATCTTTCTCGAGAAAAAAAAAATCAAAGCTTTAACCCCGGTTTGATCGGTTCATGAGACTCATACCTTACTGACTCAGCTGTGTAGAAAGTGTCGGGCCGAGACCCGAGTTTCATAAACTTCATGACTCAGTTCTGGTGTTGTTTTCTGGAAAGAAACAGCTTCTTCTCTAACAACAAGCAAAAGATGATCTCCGACCAACCCAACAGACAAGACAACCCATTTGCCTGTAGGAAAATTTCCCAACTAGAAACCACCCCAAGAAAAGGGCTTTATATACTCTAGAAAAGTATACAAAAAGACCCTTCTTGTTTAGCAGATAAAACAAATAAACTGGAAAAGGAATGTACAATTATACCGGCGGAGATGATAAATCCAAGAAGAAAGAAAACACAAATAAAACTCTCTCTCTCTCACTCTCTCTCTCTCTGTTTCTCTGAGTTTTATATAGAGCACAATAGTTACAAAAATCCAAATGAAGAAGCTTGCAAGAGTTTTCAGTCAACTCCCATGCAGAATCTGATTTTGACATGCAAAACGAAGAATCAAAGATCAAGTAAAGAAACTCACCAAAGCTAGTTTACTTGAGGTACTGTAATTAGAAAGCATCAACATGAACATGAAAAAAATATTAAAATGTTTATTTTATATATTTGCAGCATAGAAAATAATAGGGTAAACTACATCAGATACCACTAAATTTAAATGTTGTATCTATTGTTTATACTATTTAACTTTTAATTTTATCAATTATAACATTAAACTTTATTTTTGTTTTAATTATATCACTGAACCGTTAAATCGTTAATAGAACGATGACGTGACTAACGACAATCGACATGATTAACTGTTGTCGACGTAGATATCTCATCAAAACAAAGTTATTTTAATTTGGATGTTAATGATTTAACGGTCTAATAATATAATTAAAACGAAAATTAAAATTTAGTGTTATAATTGATAAAATTGAAAAGTGGTATAGTTGACCCAAAAGAATATATGGTTTGAAGGGTCAATTTGGCAATGAGTCTTATGACCATGCGATGCCAGCGTGTAGTGAGAAAAGCGTGGTCCACTTCTCAATCATGATTGTTATAATGCAACACCATTTGTTTATTTTCCAACACTAATTTATAATGAAATATCATGCATTAAATTGAAAAAAATATTTTTTTATTAATATTAGTAATTACAAAGCATTATTTGCTTAAAATTTATCACACTCCTAATATTTTAATACCAAAATCCGTGACTTCAAAAAATAATAACAATAGATAGTTTGTTTCGTGCTTGTAAATTCGAATGCGTTTAAGTGTAGTACGGGTTGACGTTGAAAGTTTATGTTTTTCACTCCAATATCACTTAACAATTCTTTCCTCAAATTTAAGCCTAATGGTCCAATGATTGTTAGTATGAGCTAATGAGGGAATGAAATGTGTTAGCTTGGGCAGTTGACGGTCACCTTCAAAATCAGGTAAAACTTTCGAGATAATGTTCTGGAAAAAATTAATTCACGAGATAAAGCACTCCCAAGATTAATTGTTCAAATAAGGTGAAATCCACAGTGATGGACGTAGGTCGTCATGTCTTCCCGGCGAGCTACAAGAGATTGCATGTGCCATGCACGTCCCAACACGCTGGGCATCCGAGGCCATCCGACCGAGGCCATCCGAAAGCATCCGAGAACATCCGAGGCCCTCCGACCGAGCTATGCGAGGGCATCCGAGGGCAACCGAGCGAGCTATGCGAGGGAATCCGGGCAACCGAGCGAGGGTAGGTCGCCCGGAGTGCATGGCGACCTTGTAGCGGATTCCCTCGCATAGGATTCCCTCGCATAGCTCGCTCGGTTGCCCTCAGATGCCCTCGCATAGCTCGTTCGGATGGCCTCAGTCGGATGACCTCGGTCGGATGGCCTCGGATGCCCAACGTGTTGGGACGTGCATGGAACATGCAATCTCTTGTAGATCGCCGGGAAGACATGGCGACCTAGTAGGTCGCCCGGAAGGCATGGCGACCTACGGCCAACACTGTGAATCACCCTATTTGAGCAATTAATTTTGGGAGTGCATTAGCTCGTGAATTATTGACGTTGAAAGTTTATGTTTTTCACTCAAATATCACTTAACAATTCTTTCCTCAAATTTAAGCCTAATGGTCCAATGATTGTTAGTATGAGCTAATGAGGGAATGAAATGTGTTAGCTTGGGCAGTTGACGGTCACCTTCAAAACCATGTTTTTTGCATTGGATTCTTACTGGTATGACTTTTTTTTTCATTCTTTTGCAGCTTTTTTTCAAGTATTTTATTTTATTTTTTTTTCTTATGACAGGATTGGTGATCTTGAAATTTCAAGGGAAAGCAAAGGATAAAACGAGAGCATTGCATTGGAGAGAGGTAAAGTGTTGGTCGGGGTGCATAAATTGATGTCAACCCTACGTTAGATAATGGACGATCCACGAAGAAAGACTGCAATGGTCATATTTCTTTGTATGCTACCCAACAGCAGACAACACCCTCCTTGTGTAGGACCATCGTCCCACCCCACTTACTCAAAAGTTGAATTTTTGAGCTCCTCATTAAATGTCCTGTTGAAAATCTGAAATTTTATAATTGAATCATCACTGTTTCATTTGTTGTTTCTGGGATTTTCTTAGGCAAATCGAGTAACCTGACTGGTTCTGGTGATTTGCTGGTGAGCGAGTGCCGGAAGCTGGTGGTGGTGATATCGCTGTCTGTTGCCTGCTTCGGATTTTGTACGTATTGGTAGAAACGCACACGCACGACCCCAGAGCTTGGTTGTGGTCGGAATCTTGTTGTGTTTCGAGACTTAATGAAGTGTAAACTTCAGGGTTGCAGGGGGACCTCTTATCCAGTGGTGCGTGGTCACTACCAGCGGCCTCGGCCTTGACCCTGACCTTTTGCATGGGGAACCCCCCAAGTCACTTTCAGCTTTTCCAATGTGGTGTCCCTCCTCATTTACTGCCGGGATTCTATGTTCCAAACTGTTGATATGTATAAATTATCGTAAACGGTGATTAACCAAAGGGAAAGAGATAAATTCAAGAAAATGATTGTGAGGAAGAGAATTGGGTACTTTTAGAGGTGAAGGACCGGCATCCTTAGTCAATAGTCATGACCACTAACCATATGCTAAAGCAAAATGATGGCCTTTGAGCAGTTGATGTCTTTTGTTTAGTCAAATTATACGATAATTACTAAGTAAATAATATGATTACTGTGGTTAATGGACAAGTAGCAGCAATTAGTCAATGAACGACAGCGTTTTAATGCTTGAAAAAACACAAATTGCAGTTGTTAAATGATGGGATTTAGCTGCACAACTAACCCACCACCTTTCACATGCTTGTCAAAAGATTCGCTTGCAACGCATGGTAAAGGCAGGATGAGTTCGACACCTCAAAATTTGATTTCTCAGCTTTACCTCATTATTGAAAAGTGAAAGAACTCGAATTTAAAAAAGGATTAATTATAAAATAAATGTCTAAAATATAGCGTTTTTCACAAATAGGTGTCTAAACTATTTTTTGAACGTTACAAACGTCACCACTATAAGTACACGGGATATGTAACGTCTGTTAAAAAATTTCGTTAATAGACATGGGTCACGTTCAAGTAATTTTAAAAATAAAAATAATTATATTTATAAAAAAATATTTTTTTTTAAATTACAAAAAAGCCCTAAAAGCCCCAAATGCTAACCCTAATCCTAACTCCACCTCCGTTTCTAGCCACGACCACCGCCTTCGACACCTCCCTTGCAATCTTCGTAGTCGGATGACGTTGTGGAGTCGCGATGGTCACCATTTCATTGGGTATACAGGGTAGATTTTCTCGTAATTTCGTCCTGATTTTAGGGGTCTTCGGCTACTATTATGAAATTTGTTCGTTGGGTAACTAGTCTTTGGTGGAGCCACGACCAGGTGAAAGTCCAATCGACGACAATAGCGACGGTGGGAACATATATATAGACTAGATTTAGGGTTTTCAAAGTTTGGGAAGGTTTTAAAGATTTTTGAAAACTTTGGACTTTTTTAATATATATATATATATATATATGTATATGTATAATTTTAAGCTTTCTTACTTAAAATTTTCAAAATTGCCAGAGGACGACATATGTCATTTAATGGAAGAAATTAACGTCATTTACGATCTAGGAACATAAAGTGGTAACATTTGTAAAGTTAGGCACTGAGATCATTCAGAAAATAGTTTAGGCACATATTCGTCAAAAGTGTTATAGTTTGGACACTTATTTTATAATTAAGACTTGAAAACAAAAAAAAAATACAATTTAGCCCTTAAATTATACCCGTCTTCTCATTTTGGTACATAAAGTATCATTCCATTACATGGGTATTGATTTACTTGATTTTTCACTTCACCAATTAGTTGTGAATGCAAGCACATGGACTGAGGTTGACCCATCTTTTGATTTGTTGTTGTGAGTTCATATCAACTTTATTAAAGTGAGAACAAATACGTGTCATTCGACTCTTGATTTTAAGGTTTGATGTTTGAAATTGAAACTTTTCTTCTTCTTGATATCAATAGTTGCGTTATTCATAAGCAACATCCTTGATTTGTAGTTAAAAGTTTAAATGGAAGGCGAAAGGAAAAAGTTGAGCAAATTGGGTGCAAAAGTTGATCAAATGGTTATTTTTTATTTGATACAATTTCGAGTTTTAATACGCTATTTATTTATTGATAAAGATTATGAATTTCAGAAGTTATATTCGAAAATTGTCAGTTGAGATTTTCAAAAACACTATTTCAATTATCATTAGAGTTTTTAAGGAATCTACTCGTTTTGAACACATGAGTATCATAGCCTCCGAACTATTTACGATGCATAAATAATATTTCTTATATGCCCATACGATCTATCATAGTAAAAATTTGAGTTTTGGCAATTAAAAATTTTAGCCTATTAATCGATGAATAGTCATAATTATCATATATATATATATATGACATCATTAATTAATTTCATTATAATTATCTCTATGTCATGATTGAGGTTATTTCTCTCTAAAACTCTTCTTTCTTGACCTTGGAACAATCCACTCTCCCATGCTCCTAAAACCCACTAATTAACTATTATATTTGCTCTAGTCATGGTTCTCTATCCCAACCAAAAGGATGAACTACCAAAGGTCGACGCAATCCATTTTGTTCTCATCAACAAATATAAATTTATATTAAAAAAATTATGAACAAATAAAAAAATTACTATAATTAACAATAAATTATAAAAAAAAATGGAAATATTCAAACTCTATATACATATTATATAGTTGTACATATATAATTATATTTTCTAATGCCGCTTTAAAGAGATTTTAAGGATTAGATTAGTTGTTTCTTTATATCAACATTTGAACACGTTAGTTAATGCCACGTTTCTTTAATCTAAAGCTACATATTTTATAGTAAAATCTTTAGGTAAAATGCAGATTTTCCAAGTTAGGCCATTTTTTTTTTTGAAAGATGGTATTTTGTATTAAGAAAGATAACAAAGTACACCACCTTAAGAACCTCATTAAAAAAACCCATAATCATAAATGGAGGAAAAAGAGTATATATTGTGGTGGTAATAATCAAATACACATAACACTCTTACATGAATCAGACCGAACCTCCGCCCTTCGACAAGCCCCAAACTGATACATAATAACTACCACAAATAAGCCAACACTATGAATAGAGAACACACTAAGCAACAAACACAAACATCAAAGCCTATGCTAATAAACTAAAAGCACTACTAAAGCCATTACAAACCCCACTTTACTAAACTAAGGACAAACCAAGTTAGGCCACTTTAACAACCCCAATTGTCAAGATCCACTTATTTTTCATTCCAAAGTTGATTTCATGTCTACAAAATTTTACTAATCAAATTGTCTTCTTCATAGTAAGAAAGTAAAAGTTCTATAATGGCTCCTCTTAAGGTGTAAACGAGCCGAGTCGAGCTCAGCTCGAACTCGAAAAGTTTAAAACTGGGTTTGATTCGACTCGAAAACTCGCAAGTTAAAAATCATCAAACTCATCTTGAACTTGAAATAAAAAATTAAAGCTCGATTCAAACTCGAAAAGGTTTGAACTCAAAAACTTTTTAAGAGCTCAATTGAAGCTCAAGACTCGAACTCGATTTCGAGCTCGAATCTAAACCTACATAAAATCTTATATTGCGTTTAAAACATAAAAATAAGTTTCCCTTTAATCAACCAACAACAATACATTATAATGCAAATGTAGGAGCTATAAAAAATTAAAAAAAAAGATAGAAATAAAATTGCAAGACATTTAGGATAATTAATATAAGTTTGGAAGTGTTTAAAACTTAAAATATATTAAAAGTTTACAAAATAAGACAATATATCTAAATTTATAAAAAAAAAATGATAAATATGACAGTATATGTAATTTACAAAAAAAATATTGCATTTTTCATACAAAAGATGGCAACTGCATGTTAAATTTACTTACAAAAAATGACATTATCAAGTTAAGTTTACTTACAAAATATAACAACAACATGTTTACTTACAGAAAAATTACAACATGTCAAATTTACTTACAAAAGATAACAATATCTATGTTTACAAATAATGGCAGCAACATGTCCAAGTGCACAAAAATGACAACATACCCATAAATCACAATTTCATACATACCACATGTAGAAAAAGTAAAAGACAATAATTAATAATAAATTATTCTATAAAAAGCATAAAATTATCATAAATATGGAGTAAAAAAAATAAGCATATTCAAACATTAAACCTTTTAATTTGTCACATTATTGATTTTTTCAAAGGTACTGGATAATAATTTCTTTTGATTGTTTATCATTATTATGTAATAATTCGATCCACTTTTTTCAACAAAGCTTTTGACTTTTTTCTTCTCAAACTCATAAACTTTGAAGGAGTCACTTCTTATAATAACTCGAAAAACACTAATCTATTTTGGCATTCCTCGTTTCATCATCAAATTAAATCATTCCTCCTACACAATATTAAAAGGATGCTCATGCATTGTTATCCAATGAGTCATAGCCCTCCTCATCTTCAACATGTCAATTTTACCATCATGTAAAGCAGTAGCAAATCCAGATTGGTTTGCGTCGGGTCTTGAATTAGATAGTATTAAATTAATTAATTGTTGTTGTTGTTTAAAGAACATTGACTTCTTTATGCAAGTATCTAAAAGTCGTTTCAAATGAAAAGTGCTATTAGATTTCAAAATAGGAAGAGGATGTTTGCGATACTTACATCTTACTTTCTATTGTTTGTTTATGATTTCAGGTTCTAAGAAATCATCTCACACATTTGATCTTCTTGGTCTCTTAAAGGCTTGAAAAGGATTTTCAACCTCAACTTCTTTTGTTGTGGCGTCGATAGTAAATTCAGAAACTTCTATATTACACTTTTCATCTTCATTAAGAATATCATCTTCATTATGTTCATCGTCAACATTCACACACAAAATTTCAACTCTTTAAATACCAATAGGTGTTGAAGAACTTTGTGATTCACTGGACATATATGAAAATACAAATAAAAAATACAAATAAAAATCTAAAGGGATATTTGTTTAAGGATAAACAAACTCATAATAAATAATAAACAAATTATAACAAACTGAGTACATTATACTAATTATTATTATTATTATAATGATTCATAAATTCAAAAGTTATTCATAATATTTGTTCCCAGGATAAATAATAAACAGATAATAACAAACTCATAATAAATAATAAACAAACTCATAATTTCATTTAATCGTTTCTGGGTACATAAATCATTATTCACAACATACAATGAAATTTTGATCTTTACAAACTGAGTACATTATGCTACTTATTATTATTACAATAATTCGTAAATTTAAAAGTTAGGGGTTGTTTGTTTACTTCAGAATGATTAAGCGTTGAATGATTCAAATGTTGAATGATTCAGAGGCTCTGTATGAATTAGCTCTGAATGTGACATGTTGTTTGATAATGGCACTGAATCATTCAGAATGTACTTTGATGCTGAATCATTCAGCACTGTTTTACTGAATCAGTCAGCACTGAATCATTCAGAGGTGAGAAACAAACACGCTGAATGTTGAACGATTCAGTATTCAGCGCTGAATGATTCCATTCAGAGCCAAACAAACAACCCCTTAGTATCTAAAGGGTTGCAATAGATAGGCTAAACTTTATTTGTTTACTTTAATCCTATTTAATTATCTCAAGTCTCGAATTAAGTTTTACTAATAGTATTTACTTTATTCTCATTTAATTGTCCCAAGCCTCAACCTTTATACTAAAAAATACTTTTTTTTCTTAATCTAAATAATTATGTTCTTTATTTCTTCTTTAGAAATTTTCATTGGAAAAACTCAATTGGTACAAAGTAAAATTGTCCACTGGAGAATATATATATATATATATATATACATAACATTTGGCCATTGTAAAAAAATGGATCCTAAAAAAATAAATTACATTTGGTGGAAATGAAAATTGGGGATTTCAAATATAAAAAGAAAACTTACTGATGTATGAAGGCGGTCACTAGAGACGGTTGAATTAATTTAACTAACTTTATTTTAATTTAATATATTTAATTTATTAAAATAAAGTTAACCCTATATTAAAATAAATTGAATTTAAATTAAATAAAGTTAACCCTATATTAAAATAAAATAAAATAAAATTAATCCTCCAACTTAATCAGTGACGTGATATCATTCAATTGGTGGATTTAATTTATTAAAAATAAGACTAGATTGAAAGAATAAATAACTAACAGATATCAAATGTGTGATTATATTTAAATATTTAACGATAGATGATTCGTGATACCACATCTTAACTAAATAAAAACGAAAATAACTATATATTATATTTTTTGAAATTAATTAAAAAATAAGAAAAAATAAACATAAGTCGTGAATCATATAATTCAGCCTAATAAAAATATATAAGTAACGAAGATCAAGTGTAGGCCGGTGGTTGGGTTGGCCCAACGTTTTGCTAAACTAGACTTGTACAAGGTCAGGCCCTCCTTGAGCAATGCCTTCTGTGTTTGTTTGATACTGAATCTTTTATAAATGTCCAAATTGATCCCTCGCCGTTACAATGAGGAATGGGCTTCAAGAGTGGTGCATGATTTTCTTGGACACATTTGCTCGATTATGTTAAGGGTTTATTGCAAATTTCATCATCAATTTTTATTCTCTCTTATTTTGGTCATTAAAATTTTAAAAATTTCTATTAAATCTTTACACATTGAAATTTTTAACCACTCCATTTTCTAAGAAAATACTAAGGTGACGTTTGATTCGTTGGAATGTTAATGAGTGAATTAGAATCTGTTAAGGAATTGGAATCTGAAGGAATTGGAATCTGAATCTGAAACATGTTTGATTGGCAGGAAATTGAATTAGAATTCAATTTCATATTCTGTTTGGTTCGCAGACATGTCAGATGAATTTGATTTCAGTAATGTAAAATGACATAATTGCCCTTCTTATTTTTTTTTTGCTTAATTTTAGTTTATTTTATAACTTACATGTAGCAATATATTATAAAAATTTTAAAAATATTAAATTTTCATTTTATTGATTAATTATTTATTTCAATAAATTATAAAAATCATACTAATAAACATCATAAGTTAAAATCATCCCAATTAGGGATGGTCATGGGTCGGGTTTTTGGTCCACCCGACCCAACCCAAGAACAAGGGAACCTCCACCCGAGACTCGACCCGAACCGACCAAAATAAAGTTTCACCCGACCTGACCCGAATATATGAATTAGAAACCCGACCCGACCCGAAATAATAAAAAAATTATTTTTATTCAATAAAAATAGTGACTTAATTGAAAAAATTATATATAGAGGTGTAATATTGTAATTATTCCTAAATATATAATGTAAAATTATATTTTTTTGGGGTCGGGTCGAGTATTTTTCACCCTAAACTCGAACTCGACCTGAATATCACACTTAAAAAAAACCCAACCCGACCCGACCAAAATAAAATTTTACCCAACCCGACCCGAATATATGAATTAAAAACTCGACCCGACCCTAAATAATAATAAAAATTATTTTTATTCAATAAAAACAGTGATTTAATTAAAAAAAATTATATATAGAAGTGTATTATTATAATTATTCATAAATATATAAGGTACAATTATTTTTTTTCCATGTTGGGTCGGGTATTTTTCACCCTAAACCCGACCTGAATGTTACATTTAAAAAAACCTGATCCTACCCGAATATTACACTTAAAAAACCCGACCCGACCCGAATATTAAACTTAAAAAAAACTCGACCCAACCCGATCCCAAATTTTTTTTAAAAAATCCGACCCGAATATCAAAAGATTAATGAAGGTAGTATAGTCAAATTTCACATTCACTCATCCAAAAATTTCAATTTCATCATGTTATGGATAAAATATACTTTTCCTCACTTAATGGAATTAGATTTCAATTTTCCCTTTAAAAACTTAAACTAAACATGAAAAAGTGACAAAATTAGATTCTAATTCCCCTAATACTAATAGATTCTAACGAATCAAACGCCCTCTAATAATTTTCTCGGCTCTTCATCTTCCTATCGCATCATCTGCAGAATGCAGATAAGTACAAGTTCCTTTTATCCGGAAATTGTTTGAGAGAAAACGAGTCAATTCTTCCAACTATATAAGTACTGATGCAACCTGATATATCTGTGTACATGTAGAAATATGTATAGCCAAAGATTGTTTATAGTAGACATCAACTATCTATTCAGTAGTCGATTAAACATCGTTATTCGAATCTTCTAACAAGAAATCAAAAGAGAAATTCTAGTCAACAGATCGACAGAGAGGGCATGTACTGTGCTTGTTCCCGAACCATTTCTCCAAGCAACTTTTGTGGAAGAAATGTTTGCAGGACAACTCACTCACCTCCTCGTCTGCTTCGAAACCAGTCAAACACACACAGCAAGCCTCACTTTCAGGTACCGAACCTTCACGTGACGACGACGGCGAGCACCGGTCGTGGCACAAGGACTTGAACTGGGTTATTGATATCCTCCTCTCCTTTGCATTGTTCATCGTCTCTTCTACTTGGTTCCCATCCTCGATATCTAAATTCGAGGAAGAATATGAACCCAGGACTTGGAGTAAAGATCTGGCCATGTTTTTCAGCAGAGCCACCGAGAGAACCGTGTTCACTACCAGCACCGGAAGTACACCTTCGGCTGAGCTAGGGAAATTCGACAACCCCATGGTGTTGTGTTCTTTGTCCCACCAAAGCAAATAAGTTAAATAAATTAAAGAACAATAAAAAATTCCCAAAAGAACGGTTTCTTGGAAAGAATTTCAGATTTTCCAGCTGAGGAAGACAGAAGTATGAAACATGAACAAAGTTTGTTCCTCTGGAGCAACGTACGGGGACGAGTTTGATGAAATCATAAATATACACGAGGAATGGAAGAAACCAGTGTGCTAACCAGGGGGCTGGTTCACTCGGTACACGTGTGGGATTTGGGGAAGATGATAGGATTAATCATTGAATTAACAAATAAAAAATGGGTAGAAATATCAGGAACTGGGTTGTGCTGGCGTTTTCAGTCGAATGAACAGTGCTTAAAGGAGGGGTAGTTCTGCGGTGCGGCGCCTAAAAAACGGCTAATATACGGTGTGACCGGTTAAACAAGTGACCGGTTAATATTTATACCGGTTATGTTATATTATTAAACGGAAATATTATAAAGTACAATAACATACTAGGTAGCGCTTATATAATGTAATAGGTAGTGCTTATATTTACCTAATTTATAAGTAAACCGGTATATTTATACCGATAGTATTACAAATTTACCTATTACATTATATTATATTGAAAGTGTTCATACTTTTTATAAAAAGGATCGATACTTCTTTTAAAGTTATGTAATTTATGTTTCAATTTTTTGAATAGTGTTTCATGTTTTCCACCTACAATATTAATTTAATAATTTCATTTGCACAAAAAATTATTTGATTATTTGATATTTTATAAAATATTATTTAGAATTTTTAATTTAATAATAATATATATCGTAACGTAAAAAATAAATCATTAGACGCCTATAATTACTAAATTAAAATCTTAAAACTCACTCAAAAGATAACCTTAAATTAATGTTTTCAACAGTGAAAAAAGTATGGACACTTTTATAAAAAGGATAGACACTTTACAATATAACCACTACCTATTACATTATATAAACGATACCTATTACATTATATAAGCGCTACCTATTACATCATATTTTTACCTATTATATTGAAAGTGTCCATACTTTTTATAAAAAGGATCGATACTTCTTTTAAAGTTATGTAATTTATGTTTCAATTTTTTTAATAGTGTTTCATGTTTTCCACCTACAATATTAATTTAATAATTTCATTTGCACAAAAAATTATTTGATTTTTTGATATTTTATAAAATATTATTTAGAATTTTTAATTTAACAACATTAAATATATCGTAACGTAAAAAATAAATCATTAGACGCCTATAATTACTAAATTAAAATCTTAAAACTCACTCAAAAGATAACCTTAAATTAATGTTTTCCACAGTGAAAAAAGTATGGACACTTTTATAAAAAGGATGGACACTTTACAATATAACCACTACCTATTACATTATATAAACGATACCTATTACATTATATAAGCGCTACCTATTACATCATATTTTTACCTATTATATTGAAAGTGTCCATACCTTTTATAAAAAGGATCGATACTTCTTTTAAAGTTATGTAATTTATGTTTCAAATTTTTTAATAGTGTTTCATGTTTTCCACCTACAATATTAATTTAATAATTTCATTTGCACAAAAAATTATTTGATTTTTTGATATTTTATAAAATATTATTTAGAATTTTTAATTTAACAACATTAACCAAAGATAATAATAAATATGTAATATATATGTTTATTATTTTTAATTTAATAATAATATATACAACATCAAACACATTCCAAGCTATAAATTACAAGCTAAGGACACTTGAAGAAGCAAGAGAACAACTATCCAAGCAATCAAAAACGAGAAAATCCCAACATGATAACAACTGAACATATCATATCAATGTTCAAAATCAAGTTGTAGATTTTGATTTCCTTTTGCTTGGCATCATATGAGATTTGAATTTTGATTTCCTTTTGCTTGGCACCATATGAGCTTTGGATTTTGATGAGCATCGGAAGTATTTCAGACTTATGATTTGGGTGGTACTCAGAAGTATTTCGGACTTAGATTTTAGTTGCTATTTGTTTACCACCCAGATCATACGCCCGAAACGTTTCTGACGCTTTAAAGTTGACCAAAAAATACAATGGTCTGGATTTCCCTCGCGTTTAAACGTTAGAAAAAAACAATTGAAATTAGGAATAATCAATGATAACATGCATATTGGCTTGGGCTAATATTTATAGTGGAGCCGAAATATATATTGAAATTCAAACTCAAATTGAAATTTAAATTCAAACTCCAATTACATATGAAATGAATTTGAAATGCAGTGTTAAATTGAACATGAAAATTGCATAATTGATTCATACTGTTCAAGTAACATGCTTTATGAACCATCAAGCTAAAAGACAATATTGATTGAGTTCAAAGCTGAGTTGTGAGTTGATGGAGTTGTCACACTTGTCACATGGTTGGAATAAAGTAATTTGATGTAATAATTTTATTTGTACAAAAAATTATTTGATTGTTTTGATATTTTATAAAATAATATTTAGAATTTTTAATTTAATAATAATATATATCGTAACGTAAAAAATAAATCATTAGACGCCTATAATTACTAAATTAATATCTTAAAACTCACTCAAAAGATAACCTTAAATTAATGTTTTCCACAGTGAAAAAAGTATGGACACTTTTATAAAAAGGATAGATACTTTACAATATATTATATAAGCGCTACCTATTACATTATATAAACGATACCTATTACATTATATACTTGTAGTTATTGTACATACCTAAATATGTACTGCGAATTTAATGTTGTACCCACCCTTTAACTACCACTACCAATGCCACATCATAGTGAAAGCAGCACGACTGAAACATATTCAAAATGAACCTTTGCTTACATCTCCATCAACTCCTGGAGCACTGAACTTGCACAAAAATTTTTTTGCCATGGATAATACTGATGTAGACAATGTTAAGCCAACCGAGGAATGCCATGAAGTACATAATGTTGATGAATCTGACAGATTGGTTGGTCAGCTCTTCTGTTCACGTGATCAAGCTTGGCACTTTTACAAGGGATTCGCACGGGAACATGGGTTTAGTGCACGTAAGGGAACAACACGGCTTGACGTGGAAGGGGATGTGAAGACACAAGAATTTTGTTGTTCCAAAGAAGGGTTTCGAGTCTCAAAAGTCAATACTGTTGATCGCCAACGTGCTCATACGCCAGTCACAAGAACAGGATGTAAGGCTAGAGTCGTAGTTACAGCAACAAATACAAACGATCAGTGGGTTATAAGTAAGTCTGATCAGAAACATAATCATGCATTGTGCACATCTGCTATGACACCATTTATGCGTTCTAATAGAGCTGTAAGTAAGGCTGATATCGATGAGGCAACAATATTGAAAGAGGTCGGTGTTGGCACGTCACAAGTAATGAACTATTTAACGCAGCAGGAAGGGGGCTATCATAATGTTGGATTTACACATAAAGACCTCTACAATGCACTTCAAAGAGGTAAAGCAAAGGAAATCGTCGATGGGGATGTGAATGCGCTTATTGCCTACTTTGATTATAAGAAACATGATGATCCCGGGTTTTTTATGACATACTCGGTAGACAAATCGGGGGCATTGTATAATCTTATTTGGTCGGATTCTACATCGAGATCGGATTACACATGCTTCGGTGATGTAATTGCGTTCGACACAACGTACAAAGATAATTTGTATGGTCGACCAATTATGCCTATTGTTGGTGTCAATCATCACCATAACACAATTGTGTTTGCCACTGCCATAATCGCTGACGAGACGTCTCAATCTTTCGAGTGGGTGCTACAGAATTTTTTAGAAGCCATGATGAATAAATCACCTATTTCTGTTGTAACCGATGGGGATAGGGCAATGCAGATGGCTATCAAATCTGTTATCCCTTATGCTAAGCACAGATTATGTTCTTGGCATCTTTCTCGCAATGCACAAGCTAACATTGGTGACCCAAAGTTTACAGCAGCATTCTCAAAATGCATGGCTTCCTGGTGGACAACCAAGGAATTTGATATTCAATGGCGTTCGATTGTTTCAGAATTCAACGTCCACAAGCATCCATGGGTGATTGAGAAGGGAAATACACGACACTTATGGGCACAAGCATATCTAACCGGTCATTTCTTTGCCAATATTCGCTCAACACAAAGGTGCGAGTCTATGAATGCTTCACTAGCTATTGCACTGAAACACAAGAAGACATATTTAGATGTTGTTCGTGCAATTGAAGATGGAATTAGTAGAATGCGTATGAACGAGTTGAAAGCGGATTACTTAAGTTCCCATACTAAGCCCTTCCAGATCACAAAACTGGTCGACCTTGAAAGCCATGCCGCTGCGATTTTTACCCGCGAATCTTTTCGTCTGTTCCAAGATGAACTTATACGGGAGACATTGTACCGGATTGAGGCAGAGATTAAGTCCTTATCAGATGAATGTCAACATTATATTTTGTCAAAGTACGCAGAAAAAAATAGGAAATTTGAAATTAGTTTTGATTCTCGTACGAAAACTCTAATTTGCTCCTGCAAAAAATTCGAGACCGTTGGACTTCCGTGTCGCCATCAACTTCACATTTTGAAGCAATTGGACTACACATATTTGCCCGGGACTTTGATTCAAAGTAGGTGGACTAATGATGCGAAGGCTTCTGCACCCAGCTATGTTGATTTGAATGTGTCTCCAGAAGTGATGCGAATGGCAAGGTTCGCTGCTCTACGTTCAACGTCAAGTAGGTTATGCTACATTGCATCAAAGACAGACGAGTCTTTCAAAACCGCAAGAGATGAGATGAAAAAACTAATAGAAGAATTAGAAAACTCGTTTGGTTTGAATCATTCAGTCAACCAGAGCATTGTAGTAAACAATGCTCGTGACCCTCAACGAAAACAACGCAAGCGAAAAGAAGTGCCGAAGAACAAGGTCGAGAAGAAAATTAGGCGATGTGGGTACTGCAACGGTGAGGGGCATAACAAACTAACATGTCCTCAAGTCAAGCTCAGTTTGAGTACAA